TGTCAACTTGACTGGGTTGAAGGATGCAAAGTATTGTTCCTGGGTGTATCTGTGAGGGTGTTGCCAAAGGAGATTAACGTTTAGTGGACTAGGAGAGGCAGACCCACACTCAATCTGGGTGGGCACCATCTAATCAGCTGCCAGTGTAGCTAGGATAAAAGCAGGCAGAGAAACGTGGAAGGACTAGACTGGCTGAGTCTTGCAGCCTCCATCTTTCTCCCATGCTGGATTCTTCCTGCCCTTGAACATCAGACTCTCAATTCTTCAGTTTTTGGACTCTTGGACCTACCAGTGGTTTGCCAGGACTCTGCCCTTTGGTGACAAACTGAAGGCTGCACTGTTGGCTTCCCTACTTTTGAGGTTTTGGGATTCGGACTGGCTTCCTTGCCCCTCAGCTTGCAGACAGCCTATGATGGGACTTCACCTTGTGATCATGTAAGTCAATACTCCTTATATACATCTATCCTAATAGTCCTCTCCCTCTAGAGAGCCCTGACTAATGCAAATATATACAATTATTTGTCAATTAACGATAAAACTTCATAAATTTTTTAAATTAAAAAATGTAAAGTACAGGCAGAAGAGGTACTCATGAAAGAAACTAAATTTATTTTTATTTTTAAAATATATAGTATGCTACTGAAAGTGGAATACCTCTAAGATAAACAAATCTGCCTTGGAAACTAATTGTTTTGCTTAACTCAACATTTTAGAGACTCATCCCATATATCCCACCAATGAGTCTGGTACACAGACTCGTCTCACGGTTTTCTTTTTTTCTCCTCTACCAATATTTATAAGCAGAATTTGCATTTTCAGGCTTTTTGATAAAACCAATGACATACATACAGGTGGGTGTGGGTGTGTGGGTGTGTGTGTGTATAAATAAAAGATTGACAAGACTATATCAACTGAAAGAAGTCCAAAGACAGAACCTCAAAAAAATGAATTCAATATAATCTATTTACTTTTAAAAGGCCTTAAGAATAATGGCATGCCAATGTGACATTCATTTATCTAAAAAAAAAAACAAAAACAAAAACAAAAAAAAAACTACATTGAACAATCTTCTTGCCTAAAATTAGCAGAACTGATAAAAAATACAGGTGAGAACACATAAGAAAAAATAACCTATTTATAAAAGTGAATGTGGTATCAGTACAGTAAAATCTAGCCTCAATAATCAAGTGAACTCTCTGAATCAGTCAATAAGTATAAAGTAAAAACCATTTTTACTTTCTAAAAGTCACTAGTAAAATTTTGCACCAAAGAGACCATTTCATAGAATAAAAGGTGATAGCAGTGGAAAGTCTGAAACTTGAATGCCTGGTCCTAGACTTATGAACTATGTGTTTGCCCTTAAGAGCCAGAACAAGACAAAAACACAAAAAGGAGTTTAAGGGATTTAGGAGAATTCATGGATGACTGACAAACAATGGGATGTTGCAAAACCTGGGGAGATCTGCATTATTTTGCTAAATTCCCTCGTCATCTATTATTTGTTCTATGATCTCACTGTAGAAGAAAACCAGACCCTAAATTTACCTTTGGCTGTCAATGTCAGAGACAGAATATTAGTCTGGATGAGCCACTGATGTGATCAGCAAAGCACTTACGTTAGTATAAACACCACCACCATCACTCCTCACTAAATGATGGGGATACATTCTGGAAAATGCATCGTTAGGCAATTTTGTCATTCTATGGACATTACAGAGCATATAGTTACATAAAATTAGATAGTACAGCCCACTGCACACCTAGGCGATATGGTACAGTATAGTGCTCCTAGGCTAAAACCTGGACAGCATGTTACTCTACTAAACACTGTAGGCTACTGTAACACAATGGTAAGTGTTTGTGTGTCTAAACATTTCTAAATAGAGAAAACACCTCTGTATATGCAATTCCCCCAAGGACCAAAATGTTGTCATGCGGTACATGACTAATTATAGAGCTGAGCCACTGACTAATCAGCAGATTCTCTCCAGGTATTTGTTTGGAATAAGTTGCAAGTGCCAATAAAATTAAACTGGAATTCTTTTGAAATAGATTTTAATAGATTAGGAGGATAAAACTTTTTAAAAACCATGACCTAAAATAAAAGGGCAAAGAAAAGTTTCATGTGTTTGTTTTTGGCTAACATCAATGTTAGGTCAGTGAAAAGTTCATACTTGAAAACATCAGTGTTGAATGCCTGGCATATTTTCTCTCTGCATTTCTGGGAAGGTAGGATCCCCAGAGATACTTGATTCGGCCCTTAACAACAGACAACATGGTCTAGTGGATTTATCTCAAATTAATCCTGGGTACACAAAAGAAAGGAAATTTAACATTGGAAATAAAAAATTTTAATTTACATGGAAAAGTCTGCTAGTGAGTCTGTCTCTGCTGAAACAAGCAAGCAAAAACACAGTAAGAATTGTAGTAGATGTTTAGGCAGCCTTTCCAGCAGCCACAATGCTGCATCCCTTACACTGTTGTCCACAGAAAGCCATCTTGTCTGTGTTTGCTCTCCGAGGTCTGCTTATTTCATTAGAATGCTGAACTAAAGGAAATATTTCCATTTTCAGGATTTCTTCTTTATCTCACCAGTTTCCCATGTCTTAAGGTCTTTACGGCTAAGAAATCGGAGTGACCCACTAAATCTGAAAAGATTTGGTAATTATCGTCATCCAAACAGCGTCTTGAGTGTCCTTGTCCTCTGCCTTCCTCTTCTTTGCTGACGCCGCCCTGCTCTCATAAGCCTCTGGCCAGTGGTCTCCTTAAGCTCAAACACCATGCTGTCAATTAAGGTGCTGAGTTCTGATGGGGAGATATTTGATGTGGAAATTGCCAAACAATCTGTGACTATCAAGACCATGTTGGAAGACTTGAGAATGGATGATGGAGATAATGACGCAGCTCCTCTACCAAATGTCAATGTAGCAATATTTTTAAAAGGTCATTTGGTGGTGCACCCACCACAAAAATGGGCCTCCTCCTCCCAAGGATGATGCGAACAAAGAAAACGAACAGAGGAGATCCCTCCTTAGGACCAAGAATTCCTGAAAGTCGATCAAGGAATACTTTCTGTACTTCTTCTGCCTGCCAACTACTTAGACATCAAAGGTTTGCTTGATGTTACACGCAAGACTGTTGCCAATATGATCAAGGAGAAAAGTCCTGAGAAGATTTGCAAGACTTCCAATATCAAAAATGACTTTACTGAAGAAGAGGAAACCCACGTACACCAAGAGAACCAGTGGTATGAACAGAAGTGAAATGTCTTTGATACCATCACACTGTAAGGATTATTCCAAATACTAGCTGCCCTGCTCTGTTTATAATTGTTAATATCAGACAAAGAGCAGAGAAACACAGCAGCAAATCAATCGTGTGAGCAGAATATTAACCTCAGTGAATGTGTGGTGTGAGTACAGATTCCAAACCTATGGCTGAGTTTCTCATAGTATGATCAAGTTTCTTTTTTCTTTGCCCTGAATAAAACTGTACTGTGGGTTCTCTATAGAAAGGGGCATTTTGAGCTTTCCCTCTTTTTTTGTAAAGTGATGTCTGCCTAGATTATTGTTCAGTTAACTTTAGTGACCTTTTAAAGTTGACATTGTAAGTAAAACAACTTGCAAAAGAAAAAGAAGAAAACAGCAGCAAAACCCGAAACAGTGTCTTCAAGCCTACGACCAACATTAGCATCTGCAATTCTTTCTTGAAGATAGTGACTATTTATTAATCACAGAGTAACATGGGGCTAATAACAGCATCTGTGTAGTGAGGCTGCTGTGCAGTTTAAAAGAGACAATGCTCATAAAGCTCCTAGCGTACTGTGTGGTGTGAGATAAAGAGCTCAAAACTTTATTCCTTACAGCAATGCTGTGATGAGGTGTTCCACCATGTCAAAGGTGAGAACACTGAGGATTAGTGGGAGTGACTCACTCAGTTGACAGAGCCAACACATAGCAGTTCTCTTCACCACCACACCATATTCACTCTGCTCTAGCCAGAGGTGTAACTATTCAGGATAATGGCTTGTTCCTGCTAAGGTCTCTGGAGTCAATGCTGGTTTTAAATCCGATACTTATCTCTATCAGCTGTGAAACACTGAGCAAGTTAGTGAAGCTCTCTGAATCTGTTTCCTCATTTCAAGGACCTATCTCAGAAGGTGATTTTCAGTATTAAACACCAGTAAATAGAAAGTGTGCAATAAATAACAGTTTTCATTCAACAAACATAACATAAACATAAACTACTAAGTGCCAGGCACTGTTCTAGGTCAGAATCTCCACATTTATCTGCATATCAGAATCATCTGGGTAAAATTTAAATCTCAACTCCCTGGTCATGCTGGAGACCGTTAAATCACAATCTATGGGGACTGGACACAGGCATCAGCATTTTGTGATGCATCCCAGGTGATTCCAACATGCAGACAACACACAGACAACCTTGGAAATCACTGTATGTTAGGCACTGGATTCCAGTATCTTCCCTTAGGGAGCTCCAAGTTTACTCACTTTACTCTTCTAAGCATTTCACATGTAACCCCTCTTTTGGACTCCTTGCTGTTACTGCTGTAGCTCAGGTTCTCGGCATCTCTCCCTGAACTTGCTAACCTGACCCCACCACCACTACCACTCAGTCCCCTCCTGCACATAAGCCCAGCTCTGATCATATCAGCCCCATGCTCAGAATCACTGAATGAACTCCCTCTGGCTATCAACTCCTCAGCCTAGCCTTCAAAGTCTTCCACAAAACGCATCTCTCCTCACTATCCTTGGACAATGCCCTATGTCTGCCAATCTGCAAGCAGGCTCATTCACGAGAATGGGGGAAAAAATCCCTGTAATACTAGACAGCCAGTCTATTGCTCAGTTATAAAATAAAATGTTACCCAATTTAAAACTGTGTTCTTAGAAATAATGGTAACCTTGGTTTTAAGAGATGCCTTTCACTTCACAATTTTATAATTTCAGATTAAACACCCCAAAAAGGATTCCCTTTACCTTAATTTAAGGAGTGGCTGGGTCACCCACTTCTTTAACTTCCGTTTCCCAAATGAAGTTTTAGTGTGGTCTAAAACCCACAGCAAACTTCCTTTGGTTTTCATATCAGTCTAAGAAAGACCAGAAAACAAGTTTTATTAACTAGACAATTATTTGTGCCAAATGGTTATTTCATATACTCCGATTCTAAATGTCATATATACCTACCACAATGTGGCTTATAACAGGTGTTCATTTAATGTTTGACAGATGAATACATACACACAGAATGAAGGACTGATATTTTACACAGAAAAGGGATCGTTTGTAGTTTTTGGTTACCTAAGAATAAATTATTCAGAAGATTATTTTGAAATGTATGCTTATTCAAGCATCTTTAAAATATAATTGCACACTTTCCTGCCTTGGGAAATACAATATAGTGAAGATGATTTAATTTTCCTTTGGTTTTTCAGTTACCATTTTATAAACCAACGCTCTCATGACAACACTGAACAAGGTGCTGGAGACACCTTAATAACTCTAGTTATTTACCCAGGAAGGATTTTATTTTAGTTTGTTTTACTAAATCCCTAGAAACGTTTGCTTTTGCCACTTAAAATTTGGGTCCTTACAAAAAAAAATCACAATTAACTAGACATAATTAATTTTAACCAAGGTTTCACAGTAGTATTACAAAACCCACTGAGACATTTAAATCTTGAGACCTAAAATGGCTGTTTCCACTTGAGTTGGGTTTTTTGGTCTTGTCTTTTTTCCTTCTCCTCTGTAAGTAGCTACTTCCAGAGTACCTCCTATGTGCTGAACACAGCAAGGACATGGTCCTGCCCTCAGAGTGTTCATAGCCAAGTTGGAAAAAGACTCATAATTAGGACACAATGCCACCTGCCAGCAATCAACTAGAAAAGGTGTGACATAAGCTCTCAGGTCTCAGGATTTCAATGCAGAGAACACAGAGAAGGTACAAGGTCACAAAGGTTCCTCTGAGGATGGCTGGACAGGCTGAGGAGGGCAGTTCAGATCAGGAGCAGTACTGCTCCTGAGACCAGAGCTTGACTGGCCTGACTGGGGTAAAGGGTCCCGTGAGGAAGGCAATTCCTTGACACCCCGGAGAAGCAGGCTCAGACAAGAGAGGTGCGAGAGACACGTGTCCTATTATATCCTTGTTCTCACTGACACCCAACTCCTACCCTGTACCTCTTTCCATTGCTCCTTGGAAAGGTTGGGGGTGGGTGGGGGTGAAGTTGAGGTACAAAGACAAGCAGAATATGTTAATTCTCAGCTTCTGCTTCTAAAATGGTGCAAGCCCCAATAAAGGAAGGAATTTTGAAGGGTATTTTGATTCTAGATGATTTCTGCCTTAGGAATTTGATTTCAGAACTGACTCTGTTGTAGTAGGATTTGAACAGGGAAGATGCACAGAAGCAAGGAACGCTTACAACGCCACGGCTGGCTGCAGGCTGACTGTGAGCACTCCTTCAGCCAAGAAATGTCTCTTTATTCCTACTACTTATTTCCTATCATGGAGATGGCTACAGAGTTGATGAGAGAGACCTGTAGGACAGATTTTCAGCTTTTGGATGATGACAAGATAAAAATGTTACTGAACAAAAATACATCTGAACTCAGAACACTAGAACAGACTGGAACAGGAAGAAATTGAGAGACATTAGTTAATAATATGCAGATTCAGGAGTCAGGGGAATAAATTCAGTGTTTAATTTGCAATAGTAATAAATATTTCTGAAGAATTTTAACTCCTTTGACTCAGATGGTTCAGATGATTCTCCACTACTTAATCAAACGATGTGGGGCTGCTTTTTATCTTTATGATATTGTTAGGATAACATTAATTTTATAATATAATATCTCATCTTCCCAAGTGATAGTTTAATAAATGAAAGCAATAACTTTAATCTCCCTGTTATCTTCCTAATTCATCAACAAAGGACAAATAAACAATGAAAGTTTGTGAACTGAGGCCGGGTGTGTTGGCTCACGCCTGTAATCCTAGGACTTTGGGAGGCCGAGGCAGGTGGATCACCTGAGGTCAAGAGTTCAAGACCAGCCTGGCCAACATAGTGAAACCCTGTCTCTACTAAAAATACAAAAATTAGCCAGGCGTAGTGGTGGGTGCCTGTAATCCCAGCTACTCAGGAGGCTGAGGCAGAAGAATCACTTGAACCTGGGAGGCAGAGGTTGCAGTGAGCCAATATGGTGTCCCTTCACTTAATCCAGCCTGGCCAACAGAGCGAGACTCCGTCTCCAAGAAGAAGAAAAAAAAAGTTTGTGAACTGAAATGTTATAAATCTTACAGTCAAAATGAATATCCCAGAAACCTGTTTTATAACCTGAATAATGAAATAAGACTGCAAACTTTTCAACAAAAAGTTAAAGGTATATAGAAAAAATATAACCAAGTAGACAAAAAAAAAAATCTACTTCATATTAATTTTCAGTGACAATGCCTTTCCAAAAAACTACCTGATATAGAGATGACGTTACAGAAATTGTCAGGATAAGCATGCCCCTCAGTCATTAAAAAGGACAGCTCCATCATTCCCCAAAAAAACCCCAGAGAAGTATTATGTACAGTTCATTCTCCAAAGAGTGCTACAGTTATCAACTAATAGTGCAGTCAGCTAGACACTACATTTTCACCTGCATCTCTAAAAACAGACCGTTGCCTTAAAGTTTTTCCAAAACCATTTATAATAAACTAGCCCTTATGGTTGTCTGACCTGATTCTGTAGGATTTCCAGATTCCTTAATGTTGTTCCATTAATTGTCATAAATTCCATTTTACTTGATAGCTGTTTAAAATTCCTGTAAAAGAAGCAAATACAATTAGACTAGATGTAAATGCATAAATAAAAAATTAATTCAGGAACTAGAAACATTCCGGCTACATTACAGCAAACATTAGCATTCTGATAGGAAATCAAACAAAAGGAGCAAAATGAAAATTCATCAGGCTGTTGTATTCCATTAACACTGGTGCTGTTAAGTAGATTGATGCAAGACAAGGATAGTTACTCTAACACGAAAAACAAGAACGGGAAAGGGAAGTAATGATAACAACATTTTGTTTTGGTTTTGCTCTAGGAATAGAACCAAACATGGTCTTGATTAGCCAAGCACAGTGGTCGTATCTTCATGAAAAGCTGTGTGATCAGCTAGAAAAATATGTCAGGATACTTAAAACTGTCCTCCTTATTCTTTAGCATGAGATCATCTTGATAAATACTTTTAATCAAGATTCTAAGCCAGGCGCAGTGGCTCACACCTGTAATCCCAGCACTTTGGGAGGCTGAGGCAGGCCGATCACCTGAGGTGAGGAGTTTGAAACCAGCCTGGCCAACATGGCAAAACCTCGTTTTTACTAAAAAATATAAAAATTAGCCAGGCATGGTGGTACGCACCTGTAGTCCCAGCTACTCAGGAGGCTGAGGCACAAGAATCGCTTGAACACGGGAGGTGGAGATTGCAGTGAGCTGAGATCACGCCACTGCACTCCAACCTGGGAGACAGAGCGAGTCTACATCTCGGCAAAAAAAAAAAAAAAAAAAAAAAAAGATTCTAACATATGCAACAAGTGTTATTTTCTCTGTAATTAACAACACACATGCAGCCGGGAGCAGTGGCTCACGTCTGTAATCCCAGCACTTTGGGAGGCCGAGGCGGGTGGATCACGAGGTCAAGAGATTGAGACCATCCTGGCCAACCAACATGATGAAACCCTGTCTCTATGAAAAATACAAAAATTAGTGGGGCGTAGTGGTACACGCCTGTAGTCCCAGCTACTCGGGAGGCTGAGGCAGGAGAATCGCTTGAACCCGGGAGGCAGAGGTTTCAGTGAGCTGAGATTGTGCCACCGCACTCCAGCCCGGGTGACAGAGTGAGACTCCGTCTCCAAAAGAAAAGAAAAAAAACACATATTACCATGGCCACATTTAGTGGGTATAAAACACTGTTACTTCCTTAAACTCAGTTAAAGCATTCACACTCTCCTCATTGTCCCTGTATCTATCCAAAACAAATTAGAATTTCAATAAATTTCAAAAAGATTTGAGAATGAGCTACACCATGACTAATAAATGTATGTACAATTCCAATTCGTGTTAAGAAGTACTAATCAATGCAGTACTAATGCAGTAATTCAATTTCCTTTATCAGCCAGTCCTTAGATGTTTCTGTCAATAGCCCTTACAGGCTTGACAGCTTATTTTTAAAGGCAAGGAAAATAACAGCAGATCACTAAATTATTTAACAAAAGAAAGGCATAAGTGTTTGTGCTATAAACCTAACCGCCCTTCTCATAGCTGTAATTTTAGGTAACGTCCAGTTTCCCGAGTTAAGAAAACAAGCCATCACCCAGAACTTTAGAGAACCTAAAATCAGAGCCCGAAAAACCAGTACCCAAAAGAGATTCCTTCACTTCTAGATGACTCCTTTGACTAAGGCCCCAAAGCCCTGGAAAAGAGAAATACTTCACCTTAAATTAGGAACGTTGCCTAGTAACTGAATGCTGTCCTTTGGTGGTGTAATGTATCTGTGACAGGTTTGAGCTAGCTTCCAAAGAATGATAATCTGTTAATGATTTTCAGAGGGAAGCAACTCCAAAACTGAAGGATAACAGGTGTTCAGCCCTTTCTCTCCCTCTTGTAGCAGTTAACTTAATTTGTCTTGAATTACAGCAATTTATGTTGTGCCTCTACCTTCCTTAATAGATCTAAGCTCCCTGAAGGCAAGAATTATGTCTTAATTCATTTTGTACCACCTGTAGGGCTCAGCGGACAGTAGATGCTCTACAAATGTGTGCCATCTTCCTATGGGAAAACCAGGTTGGCTTTATTTTTTTCCCTTTGAATCACAAAGCTCCAGAACTGTCTGTGAAATAGCCAGATAGTTATAAAATGTAAAACATTATTTACAGGAAGAAACAGTTAGGCAGTGATTGGCTATGTAGCTGACAAGAGCTCACTTGAATTCATGGTCAAAGATCTAAGTTGGAAGTTCGGCTGATAGCCTGGGCTCTGAGTTGGTATCTAACCAGTTACCCATATGTTTAGATATGAGTCCTTACTTTCGCTGTTCTGACAATTAGGTTTAACTAAGTCCATCCTAGGAGTGACTAGGTAACATGTTAGTGCCCTAATCAGACATCGACTCTAGAAGGGTGCTTAGTTGGCATCTTTGTTCATTTGGGTTATAACAGAATACCTCAGAATGGGCAGTCTGTAAACAGAATTTTATTGCTCAGAGTTCTGGAAGATGTCAAGTCCAAGATCAAGGTGCCAACAGATTTGGTGTCTAGTGAGGGCGCAGTCTCCATAGATGGCACCTTCTGTGTGTCTTCATATGGAGGAGGGGCAAACAGTTCCTTTAAGTCTTTTCTATTAATTTAAGGGCATTAATCCCATTTGCAAACGTTCTGCCCTCATAACCTAATCACTTAGTAAAAGGGCCCTTCTTAATATCTCCACAGTAGTGATTAGGTTTCAACATGTGAATTTTGAAGGACACAAACATTCAGGCCATAACAGTTGGCATGAGACTAATCAAGAAACCACAATCTAGCAGCCTTTCCTAAAAGCATCTCAACTAGCTGCCTTTATCTTCTGTCAACAACAGATGTGTAAGACATAATTTTTCACTGTGGTATGGAAGTTTGTGGGCTGTCCAGAAATACTGCCCAGTTGCCTCCTCCCTCACATGAACAGGGTATAATAATCCTATAAATTGAACAGACCATACCCGAAGGGATGGTGTTTTAAGGCTTAGGATTCTGAAAGCATCCCCTGTTCTACCCATTATCTCAGGGTTTGTTCCCTGACTCCAACTAAAAGTGAACTGTCGCTATTATAATGTTGCATATGCCTCAAGTGAACCACTGAAACAAGGTACTGACAGAATACCAGAAAGACAGAATTGGAATTTCACAGAGCTAGAGAAGAGTTGACATGACTGTTTTTGTGCCTGTTTGCTAAAAAGTATCTAAATGAGTGGCAGAATTCAGTTTGAATTAACCCACTACCTGGTACACAGCGGGTGGGGTAGAAGGCTTACAGCCTTCATCTACATATAATTACCCAATATCTACAATATCAAAAAGAAACCAGTAACTGTGAACAACCAAGTTGGTTTTTAAGTTAGCTCACAACCTTTAGAGAGCACAGGTATAGGTTATTTTAATTAATGGTATTAATGTAAGTATTAATGTGTTGTGTGTGTGATTTTTTATTTGGTTGGTTGTGGGTGTTTTCTGTGTTTTCTTTTTGCTATGTGTGTTTTTGTTTTTTCTTTTTGCCCTTACTAAACAAGTAATCTAAATTTCAAATTAGATGCTGTTTTTTAAAACTGATATCTACATTGACTTTAATAAAAGATCAACCACTGGGCAATCTTAAATCAGACTGATTCCCATCTAGAATAATTATCAAGCAACTACAAGAAGGACTAACCATGCTTCTGGAGTTGCCATATATTTCATAAGCATTTATAAGTATAAATTTATAAGTATTCTGGAGTTGGAGTCTTCCTTCCCAATAGAAATGAAATTTCCTTCTGTTAGCACCTATTTCCATTAGAATTATATATATTTTTGAACTAAGGGTTATATCTACCAGCATCCTTAAGTATCCAATAGTATCTGATCACTGACCTGAAACATTCAAGCAATTCTAAATTATTTATCCTTGTGGAAGAAGACAAACTCTATGTGCTTTGAAACTCACCAACAACGTCTGGCTAGAATTCATGCTGTGTGAACCTGCATAGAAATCTTATATACAACATGGGAAAATAGTTTATCAATATTTCAGACACCAAAAATATAATAGATGTTTTTTTTTTCCCTCAATAATGGGAGGGAAACATCTTTGCCAAAAGCTGGACAGAGAAATTGACTCTGTATTACTCTAACCCTGCTTAAAAAAAAAAAAAAAAAAAAAAAAGAAAACCAATCTTTTTGACTTAGACAAAGGTAATAAGGGTACAGAATTTATTTAAATACCATTTTAAAATGGAAACAATGACCAAAAAACTACCATATAACACATGAAATCTATTGCTGAAAATATTTCTGTATGTACAGTTTTCAGAGTTCATAAATTCACCATTTGTCTAACTTTTCAGCAGTTAATGTGATTTATAAAATATAAATTGTATTATATTACAAAACTTCAGGGTTGTAGATTCACTCACAATTGATTTGTAATTAAACAACATGACTAACTTTGCATTCCTAAATCCTACCAATAAGCCCATTAGAAAGGCAAATAATGAGAAAAGTGTATGTTAAGTCCACAAGACCGCTGCCAGGTTCAGTGATTCAAGGAGGATACACAGGACTCAACACAGAATAATACTAAGAGCTATGATTTACTACAGTGAAAGAATGCAAAGCAAATCAGGCAAAGGAAAAGGTGCCTAACGCAAACTCCAGGGGGAACCGGGCATCCAAGAATCCTCTCCAGGCGGAGTCACACAGGATGCACTTAATTTCCCCAGCAATGAATTGTAACAACACGTGTGAAATGTTGTCCACCAGGGAAGCTCATTAGAGACTCAGCACCCATGATTTGTATGCCAGACTGGTCCCATAGACACTGTCTCCCTACCAGGTACCAAAATTCCAGCTCTGAGAAAGCAGGTGATCAGCATAAACCACGCTGTCTGCAAAAACAGTTAAGGCACAGTGAGGCACTCTCATCAGGAAATGGTGAAAACTCCTGAAATTCAAGGTCCCAGACTCCAGTCAAGGGCCAAACTTGCAGGATGGCCTTTCTAAGGAAAGCTTTGTGATCAAGCCTGCTATGTTAGTT